AAGGAGGCAAGAATGTACAATGTGGTAAAGACAGTCTCTTCAATAAATGGTTTTGGAAAAATTGTACATATACACGCAAAAAAGAAGAAGAAGCTGGACTACCTTCTTACATCGTATACAAGAATAGACTCAAAATGGATTAAAGACTTAAATGTAAGACCTGAAACCGTAAAACTTCTAGAAATAAAAATAGGCAGGAACCTCTCTGATATTACTCCTCGGCCAGGGAAATTAAAGAAAAAATAAATGGGACTTCGCCAAAGTAAAAAGTTTTTGTACAGCAAAGGAAACCATCAACAAAACAAAAAGACAACCGACTCTTTGGGAGAAGATATTTGCTAATGATACATCTGATAAGGGGTTAACATACAAAATATATAAAGAACTTATACAACTCAACAACAACAACAAAAAACAAACAAACAATCTAATTAAAAAATGGGCAGAAGACCTGAATAGATACTTCTCCAAAGAGGAAATACAGGTGGGTAAGGCACATGTGAAAAGAAGCTCGTGGGTCGCTAACCATCAGAGAAATGCAAATTAAAACCACAATGAGATATCACCTCGCACCCGTCAGAATGGCTATCATCAATTAATCAAAAAACAAGTGTGGATATACCTTTTGACCCAGCAATTGCACTTCTGGGTATTTATCCAAAGAAAACCAAAACAATAATTCATAAAGATCTATGCACCCCAATATTCACGGCAGCACAATTTACAATAGCCAAGATATGGAAGCGACCTAAATGCCCATCAACAGGTGATTGGATAAAGAAGTTGTGGTTTATATATACAATGGAACATTACTTAGACATTAAAAAAAATGAAATCCTATTATTTGCAATGACGTGGATGGACCTAGAGGTTATTATGCTGAGTGAAATAAGTCAGGCAGAGAAAGATAAATACCATATGATTCCACTTATTTGTGACATCTAAGGAACAAAAAGAACAAACTAATTGAAAGCAGACTCATAATATAGTGGACAATTTCGTGATGGATGCGGGGGGTATTGGGGGCTTCGGGGAATGATGCGAAGGGATAAAGAAGTACAAATTAGTAGTTGATAGGCCATGGAAAAGGGGAACACAGCATAAGGAATGCAATTAGCATTAATATAATGGCTAGGTGAAGGGTCATGGAGGGAGGGAGTAATTGGGGGGATCATTTTATGAACTATATTGGTGTCTAACCAGTGTACTGTATACTTGAAAGTAATTTAAATAAATAAATTTTAAAAAGTAAACTTTAATCTAAACTTCGCACCTTAAATCGAAATTAACTCAAAATAGATCAGAGATTTAAACATAAAACATAAAACCATAAAACTTTCAGGAAAAAAACTGTGGGACTCAGGACTAGGTGAAAGGTGTTTAAACATGACACCAAAACATGATTTATAAAAGAAAAAAAATTAATAAATTGGACTTCACCCAAATTTAAAATTTTTTGCTCTGCAGAAAACCTATTAATAAGATATAAAGACAAGCCACAGAGTAGAAGAAACCTTTGCAAACCACTTATATGACAATGGACTGTATCTAGAATATATAAAAACTCTTAAAACTCAGCAGTAACTAAATAAAGAATCTGGTTATTAAATGGGCAGAAGACATGAACAGACATTTCATGAGGATATGTAGATGGCAAATTAGCACATGAAAATATGTTCAACATCATTAGCTTTTAGGAAAATGCAAATTAAAACCACAATAAGATATCACTACATATCTATTAAAACAGCTAGAATTAAAAATAGTGACAACATTAAATGCTAATGAGGATTCAAAGGAATTGGATCTCTCATAAATTGCTAAGGAGAATGTAAAATGTTACAGCCATAATCATGTCTAATTTCCTCTATCCTTATCAGTGGCTAGTATCTAAGTAGTGTAAATAAGAGAGAGAAAAATGAATTGAATCCCAAAGATGATGGAAACATCATGTTATAGATAAGGAATCACATTCTAGATAATAACTTGGCAGTTTCTTTAAAAAAAAAAAAACCCTGAACATTAATTTACCGCATGACTCATTCTCACTTGTTAGTCTCATGATCCCTTCTACTTCTTCAAACCCAGTTATGGAAGAAACGTGAGCAGTACAAGAAGGAAGTGGGTTCAATTTAGTGACTGACATCCAGAGAACAATATGCCTGGTTCCCCAGCTTGCTTCATTCTCATCTTTCTCCTCTGCCAGCTCACAGGTGAGTCCAGTCCTGCTCTTCTGACTGCCTTCCCCACCATGAGGTATAGCTCCAGGTCCTGGATTCACTCTGGGGCTCTGGCTCAACTCTGGAGGCTCCGCTCCCTTGTCTAATACTGCCTTTTTACATCCTGTGGTCTCTGAATCACAGAGGGCAGAAAGAGATTGGAAAGAGAAGAGAGGAATGACTCTGGGGACTAATGGTTCTTCTGACTGTCCTAAGAAAGGAAAGCCTGAAAGATGTGTTGGGTATCAGGAAGACCTGTGTTCTAATGCAGATTCTGCCACAAATTAGATGAAGAATGTTATTTTCCCTAAACCTTAGCCCTCTCTCCCTTCGAGGGTAAATTTAAAAGCAAAATGAGATGGTACAAGTATATGTTTATTTTTTCATAAATATATATCAAAATGTTTCATTCAAATATATTTATAACATACTTATATATTTATATTTAGAAATATATTTTAAATGATTATGCATAACAATTATATTGATGAAAGGAAACATTTGAATTTCATCTCTTAACCTAAGCAATCCAATCAGTCTCTACATAGAAAACCAACTCATATTGTAGGCACTTTATGTTTAATGGCATGAGTGACTAGGGGATTTTTTCACCTGTCACAGGTATTGTAGTCTTTGAAACTTTTACTATCTTCAGGGCTCCCAAAAAGGATCAGGAGCTCCATAAGTTGAGAATATATCTCTGGTCATCAAACTTGTGGGGTACTTCTATGAGGTCTCCCTCTGAGGATTTGGCATAGCTTGTTTATTTATATGTGTCCTAGGACTGCCTAAAGTGATCTGCCCAAGACCATGCAGTCAGTCAGCACTCCCAGTCCTTTCTTTCCCAACACCTGGCCTCACCAAGTGTTCAGCATCGGCAGACTCTCACTCTTGTTGAGTACGTTAGAAGTTTTCAGTTTTAGGAAGCACTGGTTTCAAGCATATGGTCCTAAAATAGGCTCTCACTTTGAAAACCATTTCTCTAAACGGAAATGACAATTAGAAGTGGAATTTGGGGAAGGTGAGGTGGGGGAGGACATGGCAGATGTTCACCCAAAACATGTGGGCAGCAGGGTACAAGTGTGTGCCATGCTCCCAAAGGCTGAAAGGAGTCCGAGATTGTTCTAGAGCCTCCAGTGGGCAGGACCATGGAAGCAGTGTAGGCCCTGGACAAGGATTCCTGGGTTTCACTTAGTAGCTATATTCTGTGGGTAAGTTATGCAGTCTCTGAACTGTGTTCTTCACATAACAGAAAATGAAACCTAACTTGCAGAATTATTGTGGTGCTTTAAATAAAATATCAATAGCAAAATAATTATAATAATAATCACCATTTGTTAAGCTCCTCTTACTTCCAAGGCGTTTTTCATACAATCTCCTCACAAATCTATAAGATAGATATCCCTGATTTACAGATGATGAAACTTAAGCTCAGAGAGGTCAAGTGTCTTGGGTAAGACTATACAGCTAATAAAAGGGAGAGCAGGGATTGAGTTCCCAAAGTTGGTGCTGTTTTCATCACACCAATCTGCGTAATACTATAGCTGGCTCCAGAGAAGTGCTCAGTAAATGCATATTTGAGCTGACTTTTCCTAGGAAAGCTAGTTGTGATTTCTTCCCCCTTCAGGTATACAAGGCCAAGGTAGGGACTGGAAACGCCCAAGAAGAGCAGGTAAATCCGTTTCCAGAATGTAAATGCACCCACAGGGATACAACCTGGCCAAGTTCAGAGGGACTAAGACACAGCTGTGCAGCCTCAGTATTCTCAGCTGGAAAATGGGCACCATGACTGGTCCCCCTCACAGATTTTGTAATGAATAAATGATACAGGAGTGTTGAGGAGACAAGTAACAAAAGGAAAACAGAAAAAGTAGGTGACCAGAAGAGACAAGAAAAAGCGGGCAGGAGATGAGTGAAGGGCAAGTAGGGAGCTTGAATGTGAACTTTGCAGGTTAGAGTTGGAGGGGTGGCAAAGGTATAAAGTGAATTGGAAGATTTGAAAGATGCTCCATATAAAGATGCTCCATATAAAGATGCTCCATATACAGATGGTCCTCTACTTACAATGGCTCAACGTGTTGTTTTTCGAAGTTACGATGGTGTGCATCAATAGAAACTGTACTTCAAATTTTGAATTTTGGTTCTTTCCCGGGCTAGTGATACTTAGTATGATACTCTCTCATGATGCTGGGCAGTGGCAGCGAGCCGCAGCTACCAGTCAGCCATGCTATCCGGAGGGTCAAGGACAGATACTGTACTTACTGTATTGCCAGCAATTGTACTTACTGTATTGCCAGCATTTTTTGGATATTGCATTTTGTGTTTTTGTATCCCATCAATTCTAAAAAACACCCACCTGTGTCCTGCTTCTGGTGAGAAGAAGATGAGAAAGGCAATTATTCTTGAGATGAAATATCTTGAGATGGAACTCAAGCTATTTGCCCAACTGTAGGCTAATGTAAGTGTTCTGAGCACATTTGAGGTAGGCAAGGCTAAGCACTGATGTTCAGTAGTTAAATCAGTGCCATGTACAGATGCTCATCAACTTGTGTGATAGGATTATGTTCTGATAAACCCACCATAAGTTTTGGCACTGATTTAAAATGATTTTTCCAAGGAGGGGGGAGGTAGACCGGGTAAAGGGGGTCAAATATAGGAGAGTAGGGGGAAGGTGAAGTGGGTAAAGGGGATCAAATATATGGTAGCTGAAGGAAACTGGACTTTGGGTAGTAAACACACAATAGAATATACAGATGTCAAATTATAATGTACACCTGAAAATTATGTAAGTGTAATTTTCCCCAATCTTTTAAAAAAATTAAGTAAAAATAGATAGATAGATAGATAGATAGATAGATAGATAGATAGATAGATAGATAAAAAGAATGCTTTTTCCAGGGTACATTTGTTAAGAAGTTGGGTAAAGAGCAGTAGTTTCCAAAATCTTTTTTTTTTCTTTTTAAAGCAGCAGTTACCTTTTATGAAATGAAATCTTACACAGAAACGAACAAGTAAATGACTCTAATGCATAGAGCTGAAGTCCCCTGATGGAGGGGAGTTCCACAGATTCTGCCCACCACCACTTGCTCTACCCTCCACCTCCTAGTCCTTCCTCTAAGCTTTTCAGAAATACACTGAGGCACTGGCACAGACCTTAAAGATGACAGGAGGCACAGCTTGGGAAAACTTGCCTTAGGAGCCCTGGTTCATAATCTTAGCCTTCCACTGACTTGGGACATGTCGCTGAAAACCTCAAAGCATTGGTCTCCTCATTTGCAAAGTGAGATTGGACTAATTCCTAAGATTCTTCTCAGCTCTGAGATATTCTGGTCCTTGGTTTCCATGAGAAGGGTGCCATGACATGCTGGTGCATTCTGATGGAGGCACCGAGTACTGGGAAAGGTGCTTGGGGACTGGGCTGGCAAGCAGGAGGAGGGCTTTACACCCTCCCCTAGCCTGAAGTTTTTCTCCTTGGGTACCATCCGTTGATATCAGCTGTACTTATGACTCTCCTTCCTCCTATTTGACTCTATTAACTCCTCAACCTTGGGTGAACAGGTTAAGGGGTGGAGGTGATAATCCAGAGTAAAGGGAGGTGGCAAATGGGAGGTGCTGTTGTCCCTTCCTGTTGTAGAAGGCATCTTAAAGCTGACTCTCCTGATACCAAACATATCTCTGTCCTGGCCAGGGAAGAAGGGTCTTCTGCCCCAGCTCCCTTAATCTCCAAAGGCAAGTTGGTGGGGAATGTTTGCTGCAAGAGATATCTCCCTGCATGGTGATCAGACCTACTATTTTGCTATGAAGTAGCCAGTGACTGGTCTATAGGCATTTGGTTCCAGACCACCTTCTGAGAAGCTCACCTTGCCAAAGAGCCATTCAAAAAAGTTTTGGGAAATCTCTGTTTCTCACTTTTAGCCATCCTTGTGAAAAGAAAACTAAAAAAAATAGTAAGCTTTCTCAAGATCTGTTCCTAAAACACTGCTCCCAGCCCTCCCTCCCACCTCCCACCATGTAGCAGGCTGCTCTGTACTTCTCAAAATGCTTTCAAACCTGTATTCACCCTTCATCCTCCCCCAAATCCTGCTAAATAAAGGTTGTTATTTTTCTCTTATGAGCATTGAGAACAGTAAAACTCAAAGTAGTAAATGGTAAGGCAGTAGTGGAAAAAACACAGACCTCTGACACAGAGGAACTAACTAGCTTCTCATATCACTCTGCTACTCCCCAGTTTGGGACCTTGGAAAAGCCACTCAGCATCTTGGAGCCTGTGTCCTCACCTATGTATGGAGCTTAACCTCTATCTCATGGAGTTGCTTTGAGGAGCAAGAAAGATAATGCCCATTGAACTAGATTATGAACTACAGAGTGATTAGCAGTGTTTGTTGCTGGAGTTGTTATTATGGAGGAACTAGAGTGAAACCTAGCTCTCCTGACTCCAAGTTAGGCCAGAGCTCTAAATCTTTCACACCACTCCATGCTGCCTAGGGGGAGAGACCCTCTCTACCCCTCCTTGGGTGAAAACCGAGACCCTCTCACCAGGTCATTTTGAACCTAACACCTATAGACAGTAGCTAATTCACAGCAAAATGGTATGTCCAATTAGCATCCAGGGGAAAAATTTCTTCTCAATCATTTAAAGTGGAAAATAAATTACCAGTGGATATTCAGAGTGTGTGTATGAGAAAGAGTTGGAGACTTCTTCAGGGAAAGGCTTTGAACTAGGCTTTATAGGTTTTGAATACAATTTAGATGAGCAGAGTGAAGGATAAAGCACAAACAAAAGCTTATGAAGTAGAAAGTAAATGGGATCAAGCAAGGGAAGGGAACTGGCTGCTTGTCTGGTGGCAGTAAGTGGGTGGCAGTTCCAGGCTTCTTCTATTTTCACAGCATTGTATGGTCATCCTGGCCTTAGAGCAAAAGTGTTGGGCTTCTCTCAGAAACAATCAACCCAAGTCATGCCATACCCCTGAACTAATTACTATGCCAGACGAAGGTTACCACCTGAGCTGGATGCTTACCAAAACTACCTGGCCACTACAAAATGAGGAAGGGGTGAAAAGCATGCAGAGGAGGCAAGTTACACCATTCACCACACTGATCTTGATGGGATGGTAGTTGAGTCTCATGAAGCCAGATCCTCCCAGGTCTTATAGATAAGTGTTAGTAGCCACTCATTCTCTAGTCATCTGATCCCACAGATCATGTTAAGTTCCCCATTGTATGTTCCCCAAGTACCTGTTACTCCTCCTTTTGTATCACATGTAGTTACTTATTTAATCACAATTTCCCAACCCCATGAGTGCAAGGATCATGACTGTCTTGCTCCCCAGTTAATATCTTTAACATAGCTCCTGAACAATGCCTGGCACAAATATGGAACTAAATAAATTCTTGTTGAAGGAAGGAATGACTGAATGGGAAAAGCGTGACTTACCTATACAGGGTAAAACTCTATAGGGTCAAACCTGCAGGTGGAGAAGCCATCACAGAAAGGGAAGATTCAGTTCATCTTTGGACAGCTGAGAAGTCTCTAGTTTCTGGATCCCTTCTCAGTCAATTGGGAAGAGGAAACAAAACTGGTTGGGACCCACCAACCCTGCTCCCATCCTGAGAACTCACATTTAGAGAGGCATGGAGCTAATTTCTTCTTTCATTACTCCTTTTTCCACTCTGAAAATACAGTTAAGATAGAACGATATATTCCATCGAGGCTCATGTTGGCAATTTGTACTGTGTTATCCTCCAATTTCATTCTAACAAGAACTATAAATTTGGAGGCATTTTCTTATATCACCACACAATTTACATCTTTTGACATTTACTTAAGGATATAACAAAGCATTGTGACGTGAAAAGGATAATTGTAGCTTAAATGTGTGCACACATGCTAAAGCACCAAAGCCACATTTTTGCAATTTTGTCACCTCCCCAACTTAAACATCTCTCCAAAAGCTCATGTGAAGATGAAATTACTCAAAGATGTCCTAAGTCCTGAAATTACACCTGCTTGAAGGCAAAGTGATACTCGGTCTTTATTTGACTGCAAAATATTAATTCCTCCCCTCTCTGTTTTGCAAGTGAACAAATAAATGCATTAACTGACCATCAAAAATTCTAAATAAAACTGATTTTGTCTGTAACATTTACTGGAACTCTTTCGACACTCCTTGAGATGATCAAAGAGAGAATAACCAAAAAACCATCCTGCCTTAGTATTAGGAGAGCAGGGGGTACAGTTTTTTGAAAACTCAGCTTACTTAACAGGTTGATTTGATAAAGGTCTGAGGGATCCAAAGAATACATGCACTGAGTGATAAATTATAGGGAAAAAATGTTTTAAAATGAATCAGCTCCTAAAAGACATTTGCCTGTGGAGAGAAATCAGTACTTTTGGAGATAAAGTTAGCAAAAAAGTTGGTCAGGATCCCAGACCTCTAATCAAGGAACTAGGTCAACATTTGGTAGCATCAGATTTTCTTACTCTGGAGCACTGGGAGATCAGCTTATGCTTGAGGGAAAGATCACTAAAGAACATAAAGGGGAAATCAGAATACTTGAATTCACCCTATCATAAAATAGAAAGATAAATTATCTTCAAACTTCTAAGCTACCATTATAAACTTACATCATACCTCCCAATGTCCTGATCAGTGCTCGAGAACCACTGCCCTTTTATATCATATGTAATATATGTAATATATGTAATATGTCAGGCAGGCTGCTCTGTCCTCTGCATCAAAATCAGCTCCCCAAGAAGCAATGGGAGTAAGGGGTGTCTTAAGAAGAGTTTGGACAGGAACTTTCCCACTTGTCCCCCTGCAGGAATTTGTCAAGGATGGAGCTGTGGTCTACCTCAGAGCTTGGTCTTTTAAGTCAGAGGTCTCTGGGAATGGGGTGGGTTCACCTGCAGTCACCACTTTCAGGAAAGAGTTCTGACCTCAACGCCTTCATGTGAGCGAGCTTCCAAAGGGCTTCCCAGGGTTGGAATGAGAGGATTTGGGGGGACCTTCCCAGAACCCACAGGAGGTGAATAATTGGTGGAAAGGGCAGGAACTCACATTTATTTTATGGTTTTCTCTGTCTGCAGCCTCTGGAGCTCTGAAGGAGCTAACTGGTATCCTTGGTGGGTCTGTGACCTTCCCTCTGACACACTCAGTAAATCAGATTGACAGCATCGTCTGGATGTTTAATACAACTACTCTTGTCACCATACAGCCAAAAATGGCAGACAAACAAGATAATGTCATAGTGATTCAAAATCATAACAAGAAAAGGGTGGACTTTTCACATGGAAACTACTCTCTGAAGCTCAGCAAACTGAATAAGAGTGACTCAGGTGCCTATCGTGTAGAAATATACAGCTCACTCTTCCAGGGTCCCTTCATCCAGGAATATGAGCTGCGTGTCTACGGTGAGTAGAATCAGTTCCAAAGGTGGATGACTGCCTTGGTAAAGTGGTAAACTCTCTAATATTGGAGACGTTCAAGCAAAGGCAGGATAAACACTTGGCAAGAATGTGGAAGAGGGAATTCCTGCATGGATGAAGTAGATATAGCTGACCCCCGAGGTCCTGTCCTACGCAGAGATTCCGTAAGAGGCAGTGTGGAACAGCAGATGGGCAAAATGGGAAGGGGAAATGACACAAGTCAAATGTTGGCTACTCTATTTACTAGTTCATGGCCTTAACCAAGTTACTTAATCTCTCTCGCTCTCGCTCTCGCTCTCTCTCTCTCTCTCTAAATAATTTTTTATTGCTCAGGATATTTGTGTGTGTGTGTGTGTGTGTGTGTGGCATGTGGTTTTTTTTTTTGGTTCCTTTTTTAATAATCATAAATTCAAACTTAGGAAAGCTTACCTTTGTCTTGAAAAATAAAACAAAACAATGAAGCTTTTATACCATCTGCTAAATGGATCTTGTTTTAAGAGAGAAATGGTAGTTATTCTGTAAGAGTAAAATTTATACCATGAATGATGCTGGTCTAAGTCTGGTGGTACTAAAAGGAGATAATAGCATTGTTGACAAAATTATCATCTGCTGGTAGCATTTGCGGAAAGGAAGCCCTTGCAAATTTCTAAACAACAGTAAACTCTGTTAGGAAATTCTAAAATGACTTACAGGCAAAAACGGGAATAAGGTTAGTAAAATGCCTCAACATAGTTTGAATAAAATACTGAATTTGAGCATTACTGGAGCTTGGATATGTAAAGATAAGGTTGTGGCTTGGGTCATATTTACAATGGTCTCAAGTTCAAATAAACTACTGTGACAATACACCACTTCACAGGCCACGTGCTTTTCCAGGGGCTTTCTTTCCTTCAGTAGGTGCTGACAGAAAGTGTGCTCATTTGTTTTCCAACATGGATGCCTAGCTCCAAAGCCAAAACATGAGAAAGGAAGAGAGATGGAATGAATACCTTAAGAATTTCAGCAGGGAAAATACTGCCTTTCTTCATGGCTCCATTTTTCTTCATGTTTAAAGAAACAGAACAGTCAAGGTGTCTGAAGTAGAACTCCTTAGGTGGAATGTTTTCAGGCCTCCCAAACCAGGCAGACACCCAATCTATACTTTTCTTCAAAGCATCAACTTCTTTCTCTTCTTCTACAACTTATTCTGAGAGCCATGGTTCCTGCTGGTGTGCATTTCCACATCAAACATAAGTTGCCCATCTTCTGTGGGGAAAGGCGGCACAGTTAGAACTGCCTCTTGAACTACTTTGTCTCAATTCATGTTGTGCATCCAAAAAGATCTTCTCCATGCCTCCATTGTGGATGGTGGATGAGGAAGGATCGTGTCCCAGCCTCCCATTTTTCCCATTGCCATTATCATTGTCATTGGTGCTATTCATGGGTAGCTCCACTGAGGAACTGTTGAATCCAGCTGGTGGTGGAAAAGGCTGTTCCCCTTCCTTGTAGTTGTTGTTGTGCAGGGGCAGCGGCTGCTCTGCTACATGAGACGACATCGTCAGGCGGCTGCAAGAGCTGTAGCCACAGCTGGACTGTCTCCAGTTCTCTGGCAGCAACCTTACTTAATCTCTTTGAAACTTAGTTTCCATAGCTGTAATGGGGAGGAAAGTGATATACCTATCTTAGAAAGATTATTGGATATAAACATCAATCATACCTCTTCCCTTATAGATTCCAACCAATTGAGAAATAGACACGAGAATCAAAAGGAAGATAAAAATAGTGTTATTTTTTTTCTGGTAAAGCTAGATAGCAGAAATATTTTTTTCCCCAAGTCTAGACATTACAGCCCATTCAAGGAAGATGACCTTATAAAACAAACATTCAACCAGCTATAAGAATAGTTGCCTTACTCACTGAGCTGCAATGTCATGGTCACCAGGACATGGGTCTCTAGATTTGATTGAAGGAGGTAGACTATTCACCTTGATCCAGGGTGTGTCCTCCATATATATATATATATGAAAAGAACAAACGAGATGATTCTGTGAGCAAACTAGCTAGGGGAGAGTAAAAAGGGCAAACCACATTTATCAGCAATTTAATAGCTCAAACCCACAAGTAGAAAAATGTAGATAATAGATGTCAGACTCTCACCATCCCAGCAATGAACCAATTGCTCATCCTCTGAGAGAGATGAGTGCTCACAAGGTAGAGAGGAGGTGGGGACTAGAAGTGTTATTTCTCAAGAAAAGTGAAAGTCTCTTAAAGGAAGCCTAAAGATAAGGGAATAGGGAACCTCTAAAAAAAATTAGCCAATATCTAAAATTAGCCAATATCTAAAATGCATTTAACACAGCACTTGCTATATGGGTATGCTTAGTAAATGGCAGCTGCATACTTGTTGGATTGTTATTATTTTTATTATTATTGTTATAAAGCTGTGGGCAAGCAGAGCCAGATAATTCTCTTTTCCAAATAAGAATGAGAATTCTGCTCTGAATTGCTGCTTATTCTCCATTCTATTGCACTTTGAAGAGATTAGGACCAAGATTTACAAGAATCATTCAGAAAAAGTGAGAGAGAGAGAGAGAGAGAGAGAGAGAGAGAGAGAGAGAGAGAGAGCAAGCTGTGGGCATAGTTTCTAGCTTCAGTTGTTTGTTTCTCTTTTACAGAGCACCTATCAAAGCCCAAAGTTACCATGGGTCTGCAGAACAATAAGAATGGCACCTGTGTGACCAATCTGACATGCTCTGTGGAACAAGGAGGAGAGGATGTGACTTACAGCTGGAAGTCCCTGGGGCAGGCAACCAATGAGTTCCATAATGGCTCCATTTTTCCAATATCCTGGAAGCTGGGGGAAAAGAAAATGACTTTCATCTGCATGGCCAGGAACCCCATTAGCAGCAACTCTTCAAACCCCATCTTTGCCTGGAAGCTCTGTGAAGGTGACTCTCTCTCTTCTTTCTCCAGGAGCCTCTGATCTCAGGACCTATACCTTTTTCAGCTCCTGGTCACCATGTAAATAGCCCTGTGTGAAAACTGGAGACCCCCGGAAACTCACCAGACCTGGAGGAAGGTGGCAGTTGCTTCAAAAGTTGGGTCATTTTCCCTAGCTGACTCTTCTTCCTCCCCTGTGCCTCCGTCTATTCTTTCTTTAAAGGTGCTGCTGGTAAACCAGATTCCATCATGGCCCTGAACTTCCTGTGGCTGTTCTTCCTGCTCAGTGTCCTTGTACTGGTGGCATTTACTTTGATTATGAGGAGAGAAAGAGAAAAAGGTAGAGTATGTACTATTTTTTGTGTTCACCTTCATTTATGAATACTTCTCCCTCATTTATCCAACAAGCATATGTTAACTGTGTGCCAGGCTTGGTGCTAGGCACTAAGGATACAGAAATGAAGAGGCCATAATCTTAGTCCTCAAGGAAAGCATCATTTGTCTCCTCTCCTTAGTTCTGGGGTAGAGAGAGTGCTCGAGTCCTTAACTTCTCTCCTAAGGCCAAGGTCCTTCCAGTTCCTTCTCCAGTGCCCACCTCTTTCCTTCTCCCAGAGGGACTTACTGATGAGGCCATCCTATTGGCACAGGTCCCACCACTGCTGACTCTGCTCTCCTGGCCTGGGAAATAATGAGATTATTTCCTGAGATTCTGTAGACCAGTGCCTTTTATTCAGTCCTTCCAATCCCCATCCCTGCCAGAGACCCCAGACCAGTCTCAGTCCTCTTCATTGGATCAATTCCAGAGACCTCTCTTTACTTCCCCACCTGTCTAGACACATTCCTCCTGGAGAAGCCTGTCTCTGTCTCCATTTCTCTTTATGCTGTACCCCATGCTGTGTCCCTAACCCCTGCTGATTTGTCTTCTCATGTTCCCAATGCTACTGTCCATATAGAGTGCTGGGGAGAAATCTAAACTTTGGTTGGGTATGAACTGCAGATTCCCTTTCCTCTTGAAAGCATTTATGACCTACTCTGCTTTCTCTTTTGGCTGCCCTGGTCCAGAAATTGGGAAGTAGAGTGATGAGGGTAACCAGTTCATCCTAGAACTTTCCTGGGTTTTCCACTGACCATCCCAAGTCCCAGAAAACTCTTTAGTTACAGGGAAACCAGAATGGTTTGTCACCCTGAGTAGGTTGTCAGATGACGTGTTGGGCCAACAGGTGGTGAGTGGAAGGAGGGGCTAGCTCTGATTCTCTGAATTGGTTGCAGAGTCCACTGGAGAAAAGAAGAGAATGGATAATCATCAGGAAGTTCTTAACTACTACCCCTCTTCTGGGGAGACCTCAGAGTATGACACAATTTCTAACCTTAATGTGAGTCCATTCCCATCTCTCCTGGGGCCTAATTCTCTTCTCTGAAGCCTTTCTTCTTTTCTTAAGATTTTCTCATGAATTTGGACAACATGGGAGATGAGGATACATAGCTCTTGAAACCCAATGCACCTGCCCTCCACAATTCACAATAGCCATTGAACAGGCCTGATTCTTTTTGCACAGGACAACAGATAGAGAAATGTGCCTTTGATATGATGTTTGAGTTATGGTGCCGGTTAACTAGCACTAGAATTCTCTAAGGCAACTCAAGAAGTCATTAGGAGAGGACTCAGAGGGCCCATGGTGGCTCTGGGCCCATACTCAAGGCTACCCAAGTGTAGGTCACTAAACTTAAGTGAATGAATACAAGGTTAATGCAAAGGAAACTCTTTGAAAAGAAAAGTATAAAAATAAAGCTTAAAGAAATGCAAGTGACAAGAGATACTTTGGAGACATGAACTATGTAGACAACTTCAAAAGTCCACCCAGAGAAATCATTGTAGCCCATGCTAGACTAGCTCTTTAGAGGTCATACTGCTTTTCCGCATTGGCTCATTTAATGAAGAAATAAGAACACTATGGCGCCTCAAAATTCCAGTTTTACTCCAGCTTTTGGGTCTCCCAATTGGATTGTGTCTTCCTACTCTTACCTATAACTTTTCTAAGAGGAGACATTACGTTTCCTCTTCAAAGCTGTTAGTGTCCTGAGGGCTCTTTCCTTCCTGCAGGGAGACTGCTCTGTGCTCCACTCAGCCTGGCTTCTGTCCAAATTGACCACTTTCTGCTTCCTCTTTTTCTTCTCAAGATATATTCCAGGAGACCACAGGACTGTCCTGGATGTTCAGAAAAAACTTTATCAACCCAGGATATTTTTCTCCAGCCAGGAAGATTTGTTATTGCTATTATTATTGTTTTGTTTCGTTTTGTTTTGTTTTGTCTATCCCATCAGTCATCCTTACTGGTTTGCTCCAAGGGCCCTTTTGACTGATGGAAAGGTTTATTTGCAACATTGGCAATATTATCCTTTAATTAATTTAGAAGGCTCATAGCTCATGGGACTTATATATCTTATATATTTTTTAAATTAATTTCAACACAACACAGTTTTAAGATAGTGCCAATTGTTTCTTGAAAAAAGTTACTAATAATTATAATAACAGCCATGGAAAGAACAATTCCCAATACCCATTTCTGTTCCAGAACCCTCTACCTACCTTGCCAACTCCTCCCATCTCTACTTTCTTTTCTCTGGATTCCAGGTGTCTCTTTGGCCTTGTCTATGTGACCTAGCGGGTGGATGATGATTTTTTTTTTTTTAAATAGAAAACTATTCCAGAGGAAAATTCAGCAAAGATGCTTTATTCCACGGTACAAATACCCCCCAAAGGTAAGAAGCATTAGAGCTGAGCTTCACTTTAGTTGTCTCATTACTTTTCCTAATTCAAGCTTATCTTAAAATTTCTTTGGCCCCAGGGATCTCATGTTCCTCGGCCTGGTATTAAAAGATCCTCAGGATGTCTCCATTCCCTTTGCTTAGGATTACACAAGAATATAGAGAATACAAGAGAATTGTGTCTTAGGAGTCAAATGGGAACAGAGTAGGAGAGAGGCTCTAGGTAGGGATGATAGGAAAAATCATCAGAATCCTAACTGAGGCCATGAATAGAGAAAAGGCCATGGTGAGGCTGTGCTTGGAGAGAAGGGATGGTTGTGAAGGAGACTCCAGCTTGCTCTGAGCCACCAGTAAACGAGATTTCCTTTTCTTTTCTGTGGTCTAGCTATGTTACGTCTGGTTTGCACACTTTCCCAAGACTAACTACTAAGGTTGTAAGATTTAAAGTTTATTCCTTCACAGATCATACTTGGCAGAAACCTCCTGTCTCCCCTCCCAACCAAATCAGAAAAGATGAGGATTGGTAAAGCAATTTGCCTAGTAATAAGAAAGGTTGGTTCTGTTGGGTTATTGAAAGGAAAGCTCAGCTCATTAAACATTCGACATGATAAATGTGGGTTAACCTTAAGGAATAGTTTTCCTAAAGTCAGAATGATTAAATCAGTGGCAGCAAGCACAGCAGGAGGCTTGGATTGAGTAACCTTGGCAATAAAGAGTGTCTGGGATTAAGGGGTCAGTTGTGGGGGATCCAGAGCCCTGCCTACCTTCAGTGCTCTGTGTTCTTATGTCTGCTCAACAGGTGGAAACACCCTACCCACTGCCCACATCATCAGACACACACCTTGACTATTTGTGTATGCGAATGCCATCTGAACAGCAGTGTGTTCCCTCCTGTCTCACCCCAAAGAAAATAGTCTCAAGAATTCACTGACATGACCAGAAATATCAAGGAAGAATGAAGAACATCGACTTCCTTCCAAAATAACTATCTTTTATGCTCCTTCAGATATGAGTTCCTAATGCTACTCACTGCTGAGAAATCTCCTCAAACCCAGGATATGTGACTGTGTCATCCTGGAAATGTGACTGTAAATTTATCGACCAACCCCAAGCAAGGGGCTTATAAGTGTCTCTGTTGAAATGTAAGTGCAGTGTCACACAAATGAATGATGTTCCATCCCAGGGCTTGGAAGTCAGGAATATATGAAGGGTCTAGTTGTCAAGAGGGCAAAAATGTAGGAACAGCAGGTATTCCCAGCAGAAGCAGGTAAAGCAGCCAGAAATGGCTTTATACTCATTAACTACATGCCTGGCCTACACTGAGTTTGGTCAGTCATGCTCTCTGATGCCTTAAAATTGGCCCCTTATGAACTACTTCCATAGGCAGTCACAGCAGGCCTGACCACAGATTCCTAACACTCAGGGAGTCAGGCATGGATCTACAGGACTTGAGATTCAAAGTACACAAGGATGGAGAAGCCAGGTCAAAGATTGGATTTGGATGGATGGAAACTGAGAAGTGTGCCTGACCCAAAGACAAGGACCACTGCCACAGTTTCATTTACACTCTTGTGCTGCAAGTGAGAAGCCCAGGCCTTGGGCCTGTATAGGAGTCCATCTCAATGGAGAAACTGAGCCTGAAGACACATTTCAAATTTATGACAAAAGATTGGAGTCAGGGTGTGGTCACTTGCAAACCTTTAAAGTCACTTAATACACTCAACCAATATTTGTTGAGAATCTCTGCTAGATCAGTCTGGAAAATAACTCAGATGTCATTCCTGTCCCCATGGACTTTTCCTTCTTTTTAAAATGAAATTAAAAACCTGAGGATGAAAAGAGTTGCTTTCAGTATGTTCCTGGACACATATCTTGAATGGAAATATTAGAAACAGATATGATGTCCCAGGTCTGGGGGCATGAAGTGTCAAATGACAAAATGAAAACAATTTAATTTGATGTCCTCTATTCATGGAAAAACAATCCATGGACTGGGGGAACACAGTGCCTCATAAGCAGTAGAGCCCTCTACCAGAGTGATTTGGGGCAAGAGTGAGTTTTATAGAGCATTAAAAAAGAGAACAGGGAAATAGGGCAGGATTGGCTAAGAGGTTGGGGATTTTTCATAATGCCAGCAGGGCCAGTTTTCTAGGTCAAGGTGAGCTAGTTAGAGCCCAGTTAGAGGACTGTGATTGGTGTGTGTGAGGTTTCCTTAACAGTTATTTCCTGTATCTGCAGGCTGACTTAGGTTTATATTTGTGACATGGGTCGGGCCACTAGGGTGGCCTCCATTTTGTAGGTCCTGATATATCAATTAACTTTTTCAGAAGTAAGGGGCAGAGCTCATGGTTCCAGTGCGGGGAGAAAGAGGAAGCAGGGAGCCAGGCGGTTGGGTGGAGACCCACCGTGGCTACTGCCACCACCACCACCACCACTGCTGCTGTGCTCATGGCTTGGGAGAGGAGGGTGAGGCCCGGGCACGAGCCACCAGTGGCACCTCTACAGGAGGACTGGTGGTGGGAAGGTGATGGTGAATATAAATAAACTCATCATCAAAAGCATCATCCAATATCTGCTGGAAGTGAGAGAGTACAAGCCTGGTAAGAATGTCCAACTACAGGAGAATGAAATCAGAGGATTGTGCTTAAAGTCCCCAAAGCTTTTTCAGTCAGCCTATCCTACTAGAACTTGAAGCGTCACTCAAAATGTGTGCTGATATCCATGGACAATACTATGATTTGCTTCGACTTTTTGAGTACAGTGGTTTACCACCTGAAAGCAACTACCTGTTTCTTGGGGACTATGTGGACAGGGGAAGCAGTCATTGGAGATTATCTGACTGTTACTGTCATAGAAAATGAAATATCTGAGAATTTTTTTCTCCTCAGAGGAAAACATAAATGTGCAAGCTTCAATAGAATTTATGGAGTGTATGATAAATGTAAAAGAAGATATAACATTGAATTATAGCAGCCATTGTAGATGAGAAAATATTTTGCTGTCATGGGGTTTATCACCAGATCGTCAATCTATGGAACAGATTCAGCAAATTATATGACCAATTGATGTACTGGTTAAGGTCTTCTTTGCAATCTTTTGTGGTCTGTCAGATAAAGATGTCTTAGGCTGGGGTGAAAATGAGAGAGAAGTGTCCTTCACATTTGGTGCATAGTGGTTGCAAAATTTCTCCATAAGCATGATTTGGATCTAAAAGTAGAGGCCATCAGGAGGTTGAAGATGGATATAAATTTTTTGTGAATAGGCAATTGGTCACTCTGTTTTCTGTACCCAATTATTGTGGAGAGTTTGACATGATGAATGTGGACAAATCGATAATGTGTTCTTTTCGGATTTTAAAGGCTGCAAAGCAAAAGAAGCCAAATGCCACAAGACCTGTAACACCTCCAAAGGGTATGATCACAAAGAAAGCAAAGAAATAGATGTAATTTTGACATTGTCTAGTTGAGACTTATAGTATATAATTTTTATTTTTAAAAACTGTAATGTATATATGGTACATGATGCTTAGGGAAGGGATAGTTTATTAAAAATGTACTTCTGAAGAGGAGCAGAGTTTGCCACCCCAAAATATACCTCTTTGGGATATTGATTATTTTAAGCTATTTATGTTTGAGGCCCAGAAGGCTCAGGAAGAAGCTTTGACCTTTCCATTAAGCCTAAAAGAATTTAATATAGAAGGTATAACGCAGGATCCCCGGCCTGGAACTTGCACCTGGGTTTGGATATTCTGGAAAAACCACCAGGGTGAGAAATGCCACTTATTACTCATCAGGCAGGGAAGCTTTAACAGCAGCAGGTCAGAGCTGCAGGAAGAAAAACTGCTGCTGACCAAGTACAAGCAGAGTGTTTTATGTCCACAGGCAGAGAAAGGGGTTATCTCATTGGGAGAGCAGCCGCCTTCTCAGACAGATGAGAGCAAGGTGTGCTGCTTGGTTACAGGAACAGATATCGCCCATGAATTAATGTAAAGGTGAGGCAAGAGAATTAAAAATGTTAATCAAGACATAATCAGAGACTGCAATATGCTGATCAGCCCTGCAGCCAGGCCAGGACCACACTTGCAGAACAGAGGAAGATTTCTACTGAGATTACTAATAACCTATTCTCTGTACCTGTGAAGGGGAAACAGCAACCAACAGAGTCATTCCCCATGACTAAAATCATGGGGAACCTGTGGGTTAAAGGCTGGGAACTGCCAGCAGGTCTTTCACTCTACATATTCTTACCTTTTCATGCTACATACTCTTCCCCTTCCTCATTGTATGTCTGTATCAAAGGAAATGGATTAACAAAGTCTTTTAAACTATAACTCATAGGAACTAATGAATGACACGTAAAGTGAATTCCCTGAACACTCAGCCCCCTACTCACTATCTTTCCACATCCCTCTCACTGTCCCTCTCACTGTCCCTCTCACTCTCTTAACTTTGGTGTGTGTGTTGAACTCTTTCTACACTCTCTGCCAAAGGACCTTCTTCTTCTCTTGATGTAGGGCTTAGTCTCCCTCCACCCCACTAACTTGGGGACATTTTTTCCTGTCCTCCATCAAAACCAGACAGAACAATGCCATGACTGACATCAGGACCTGATATAATGATCAGCTGTCTCTTACCCTAGCCCTGACCAATTAGTAACACCCACAATCCCAACTCTCTTAGTTTGCATGACTACTGATTTTTCCCTATATAATCTGTACTCCCGAGACACCCAGGGAGCCAGACCTTTGAGCAATAACTTGCCTGTGTCTCCAAATCTTGCAATTCTCTAACAAAACTTTCTCTGCTGCAAAACTTGCCAGTATATTTTCTTTGGCTTAGATGCCCTCAGGAAGATGGGCTCCTTTTTTCACCCTGATAACAGTAGAAATCTTACTTTGTTTTGCAGATTTCCTTCAGGCCTGCTGTAGGGCTGATCAGCCTGTTGCAGTCTCTGACTATAGCTTGATTTAATATTTTAGTTCTCTTGCCCCCTCCCCACATTACTTTGTCCTCTGTTCTTATGCATCTAGGGTAACATATCTTTGAAATGTCAAAGTAATTTTCTTTTTCAGACCACTTAAAGGCACCACCACTGGCACCAGAGCACAAAAACATGAAACTCTTCATTGTTACCTTGTTGCCCACATACTGCTATGTCTAGGAGGGCCTTACCCACTGTAGTGTGGAAACCAGACTCCTCGCTTACCTTTGTGTGGGAACTGGACCTTGCATTTGGGTAGGCAATGCTACATACTCACCTCCCACTTCACTGGACTCTCCTCCCTTCCCCGCCAATTTACCTGCCAGAAATATTCCCACCAAAAGAGCTGGCCTCATGCCCCATATAAGTTTCAGGTGTCCTCGCATCTTCGGCTCAGCCCAGCTGTCACTCTGCTACAATAAATCTTGCTTAACCCCTTTGGCCTGTGCGTTCCTCCTTCAGTCAACGTAACATCTGGTGCCGAAAACCCAGGAGGGTTTGGTGCAGGTTCAGTGGCCACTCCTCTGAGCCCCAAGGTTGTTGGTTTGCAACCTGCAGCTAGCCCAGGTAGGAACCTCAGGATCCTACCTTTTCCTCAGGCTCTAAAGAGGATTAACTCTAACCTCCCAAATCCTTCCCAAACCCAGCCAGGGAAGCAGCCGTACCGGGCGGAAGCTTCATCTTTTCATTGCTGAGCTGCCACTCCACATCAGTCACTTAATTTTCGGGTGAGAGGTTACCCACCTCCTCGGGTCTTCTGTCTCTCTCATCCTCTGACAAATCCTAGCACTAGGTCAGAAGAGCCACTTTCTCCCTTGTGGTTTGCTACTCACCCTCATTTTCTCTGATGTTCTCACCTTCTTCATCATGGGGAACACACCCTCTACACCCTTCAAAATCACCCTCCTTGGCTGCCTTTTAAGGAACCTAGACTATCTCAGCCTAAAGGGTGATATCAGACCTAAGCATCTCATTTTCTATTGTAACACTGCTTGGCCACAATATAAATTAAATAATGGATCTCAATGGCCTGAGAATGGCACCTTTGATTATAACACATTAGCAGACCTTGACTACTTCTGTCACCACAATGGAAAGTGGTCTGAAGTTCCCTATGTCCAAACCTTCTTTACTCTATGCTCCAGACCCTCTCTCTGTAAACCCTGCTCTACTTATCAGATTTTATTTCTTCACTCCAAAAAGTCTACTTCCCTTGACTCTGAAACTGACAATTCCTCTTTTGATCCCACTGACCACAGACC